GAAAACTCAGGTGACTCAACTCAATGATTCGGTTCAGTAGCTCCCCGAAAACTCAGGTGACTCGGCTCAATGCTTCAGTTCAATAGCTACCGGCAAACGCAGGTGACTCAGCTCAATGATTCGGTTCAGTAACTCCCCGAAAACTCAGGTGACTCAGCTCAATGATTCGGTTCAGTAACTCCCCGAAAACTCAGGTGACTCAGCTCAATGATTCGGTTCAGTAACTCCCTGAAAATGCAGGTGACTCAGTTCAATGATTCGGTTTAGTATCTCCCCGTAAACGCAGTGACCCGGCTCAATGATTCGGTTCAGTAACTCCCCGAAAACTCAGGTGACTCGACTCAATGCTTCAGTTCAATAGCTCCCGGCAAACGCAGGTGACTCAGCTCAATGATTCGGTTCAGTAACTCCCCGAAAACTCAGGTGACTCGGCTCAATGATTCGGTTCAGTAGCTCCCAGCAAACTCAGGTGACTCGGCTCAATGATTCGGTTCAGTAGCTCCCAGCAAACTCAGGTGACTCGGCTCAATGAATCGGTTCAGTAGCTCCTCGAAAACACAGGTGAATTGGCTCAGTGATTCGGTTCAACAGATCCCCAGTAAGGCAGGTGACTCGACTTGCTGCTCCGGTTTAAAAGCTCCCTGGAGACGCGGGTTGAACCCAGTTCTTTAAAATGAACCGGATTCATAGAGACTTGAAAGACTCTTCATCTCAGCACGTAGCTGCAGACGACAAGGTCCTTGTGTCTGACAACTTTGTTACCGGGCGCAGCACAAACAACTTACTCACAGAAAACTTCAACAAAGTCACGACAAGATGTTTTTTTTTTATCTCAATTGTAACGTTTATTATTTTCACAACAAGAGATCTCGTTACGCCGCTAGCTGAGCGCGTTTTAAAGTTGCGGCTCTAAGTTCACGTCACGCATCGAAAACACGACCGTACAAACAGATTTCCTTTGCGACTGATAAACAACCAGCTGCTGAGAAGTGGGGWTGACGCGGCGGGGAAGAAAAACGTGGGTGAACGTGACGAGTGAAGAGCGCTGAGTTGGAATCTCTGAGCAGCAGGCTCCTCCAGAGCGAGCTGGGCGTCGGAGGCCGCCTGATAACCTTATCATGGCCTCGCCACGCTGTAACGGCTGGAACAGGCCGGCGGCGAGACGGGGAGGAGCGGACAGCTTTCAGCTGAGATAGCAGCCAGAGATGTGGGCATATCCAAAGCAGAAGAAGAGACAGAGAGAAAGAACAGAGAAAAATACAGAAAATCTTGCCCACAGTGAACAACAGATTGTCACTCAGGAGATAATGTGTCTTTGTGCCATGCTCACAAACAACAATTTATGGTTTCTTTACTCCTCTCATTTTGTTTATGAAAGAAAAAAAAAAAAACAAAATAACCAGAATGACTCAAAAATAACTAAAATAACTCACATAAAATCCAAGTTCAGAGACATTCCTCTTAATCAATCCTCTATTTTTAGGTCTTTTTACGCCCATATTTCATTTAAACGACCCACATTTTAAAGTAACCAGTGCAAAGTTTAAACATGACATCGTCTCAACCTGCTGCTCCAACTAAAGAGGACCAACTTGACCTAAAGTCAACAGCGTTACATCAGATAATAATCTAACAACATCTTGAATAACTCTGTAAACACACKCGCAGTCTTCTTTTCCTGATAATCTGTTGACAGTTCCAGGGCGGGACAGCAGAAAAATCTTATTTACCGAGTGACTTTTTCGAAAACACAGCATTTCTCAGATTACATCGGTGCATCTCCACTGGTAACTGAAAAAACACAGAAATGAGTGAACGAGACTCAAACAGATCCATGAAGAAGACTTGTTTTTATAAACTCAAAGTGTTGAAGAAGTTTGGAAGAGTTGTTGTTTTAATTTGCTGCCATCTAGAGGCCAAAAAACTTTTTTAAAATTTAGTTCTTGTGGACCTGTTTTAATCATAAAATATACAGTATACCCAAATAAAGACCACTTCTTTAAAATATTTTAAAATTTAAAAATAATAATGTTTTTGAGAAAGTAAGCTCAGGAAAAGTATAAAAGTTACAAAAAACAAAATAATACACAAATAACTAAAAGAGAACAGTCATATAT